TAAATAAGTTGAGTACTTACGTATACAACAATGCGTACGTAATTCATTAATTGGCCAAATATAGCAATTTTTTTTTTTTAAAAAAAAAAAAAAGAAAACTTTTTAGTAAACAAGTAAAAATACTTTGACCAAATATCTTTTAATAAAATATTAAAATTTTTAATAATTTTAAAATAATTTTATTTTAAGATTTATTTAAAAGTTATACAGTATAAAAAATTTATATATTAAAAAAATAATATAATAATATAAACAATAAAATAAGTTTTTAAATTAAAAAAAAATCATTTAAATCATTTAATCCAAATATTTTTTTAATTATATTTTTAATAAAGAATTAGTAAATAATTATGTTTTCTTCAAAAAAAAATATATAAGAATTTATAAAAGTTTTTAGCTTTTTTATTATCTCTTTAATTTTAATTTTTTTTTTTTAATTTTTTTAAAAAATTTTATTTATCTTAATTTAATCTTGAATTTTTAATTATATTGAATCTTTTAAAAAATAATTGGTCAGATTATTAATTAATTAATTATATCAATTATAAAAAAAAATAAACAAAATATGTTTTTTTATATGTTTTTAATTATATAATATCAAGTTAATAATATAATTAATTTTTAAAAGAATTAAACAGTTTTAAAAATTGAAAGTAATTATAAGATTTAAATTATATTTCAATCTAGTAACAAGTTAAAGTAATAATATTTATTTCAAAAATTTTTTAAAAAAATTTTTTTTAAATTATTTATTAGTTAAATAAAGTAATAATTTCAAAAGAAAGAAATCAATAATAAAAAATCAATATTCTTTTTAATAAAAGTTTTCAAGTATAAAGTTTTAAGAAATACTTTTTTGAAAAAAATACTTTTAAATATTTTTAAATATTATTACTTTAATAAAAATTAAACAATTTGATTAATTATAAAAATAAAAAATAATATATTAATAATTATAAAAGCTTGAATTTTATTTATTGAGATAATTTTTTTAATAATAATTAGAATAGATAATAGTTTTATTAAATAATAATAATTTTTTTTATATATATTTATATTGTTTTTTTTTTTTTTTATAATTTTTATTTTTTTTCTTTTATATAATTTTTATAAGAAAAAATAAAATAATTTAAATTTATAATTATAATTATAAAGATAATCTATAGATTTTAATTTTATTAAAAGTTTTAGATTTTAAGTTTATTTATTAGAGAAATAATATATTATTCTTATAAATTATATTTAGAGATTTTAACTATTAAAAAGTAAATTGAATTAAGAAAATTTATATTTTGTATATATTTTTATACTAGTAATAGTTTTATAATTTAATAAATACATGATTTTAATTTAATTATAGATTTAAAATAAATAAATATTTATTTATTTACTTATATTTTTTTAAGTTTTAATAATAAGCAAATACAAAATATCTTTAATATGTAAATATTTACTTAATATAAAATATAACATGTGACATTGAAAATCATATGTTCACATATCACGGGTAATGCTTTGGTTACACGGTACGATTAGACGTTGACATTAATATGGCGCAGTAATCACTGTTGTAGCAATAAAATACTCATCATGGAGGATTATTACGAAGACTTGTTGAGATATGAAGATGAAATATATAAGGAGAAAAGTTCTTCTTCTGAGAGGTAAAATTTGCGCTTTTCTTAATGCATTTCAATGTCAATTACTGAAATTAGAAAAACTTACTTAGTGAAGAGGAAGATTTCCTCAAGGATCCATCAATTCTTTATGGACAAATATTTTATTCGAGTGAAAAGCCGCTTTTAATTACTGAAGAGAAAGTCAAAGAAAGTCAGAAAACGGAAAGCAAACACTCTAGTGACCAGCAAGTGTTGACTCGAACTTCTAAAGTAAATGAAGAAACTTCCAAAACTACGACTAATATCAATAGTAAATTCAACGATGAAAACGACACTAAAGTTATAGAGGGCAACGGAAACTCTTACTCAGCAGGCAAATCTGATATTATAATAATATCTGATAGTGATGAGAATGAGGTTTATACCAATGCCAAGAAGGTTAAAGGATCATCTGATGAAGAATCCAAGTACTCAATTTCGCGTAAAGCACCTTTGGTTTTTGATTTAGAGGATACACATTCTTCCGAAGATGACATGGATTCTCAAAAAACGAGAGAAAAGGGGACAAAGACAGAAGATGACGTCGGGAAGTCTACGAATGAGAACACACCCAATAGGACAATAATATCGTCGGAATTGGATACTCATCTAATCAACCCAATCAGTTTTAAAACTCCAGATTCGACGCCGACAAGGGTAAAAACGAACCAAGGAACACCAAATGCTCTTTCAAATAAAGGATCTTCAGGACATGTTAAACCATCCAGTAGTTCAGCACCTCTCATTCATCAGGTTTTGAATATCACGATCAACATTTTATTCCAAAACTCTTTTGAGATCATGTGCGATTCATTATATTATGATAAATGTGTGTAACCGGATCTTGAAAACGAATAGGAGTTAAAATTCAAGACAAACAGATGCCAGAATTGTGGATCACGCGAACATAATGAAAACATTTGCGAGAGCATTATGTACCCTGATAATGATGAAGTAAGTTTGCCATATGTATTCTCCCCTTGATTTCGAAAATGATATAATATAATTAAATATTTCAGCTTACATGGAGAAGATACAAGTTGCAAGTACCATCACGAAATGTTAAAGTCCGAATAAGCTGCTATAAGTGTGCCAGTCAAAATCATTACGGAAAGGTCTGTTGCACCTTTTGTTATCACAAATCCTTTGATTTCCAGATAAATCACGTTGTTTGCTTATGATTTAAATACTCAACATAGGATTGTGACCTCAGTGGAAGAGAATCATCATCCTCGAGAGAAGCACATTCAAGTAACAGGTTAGTGAATTACGGTTGAAGATAACAACAACTATTAAGTCACAAGCGATTTCAATACGATAATTTCAGGTACGGTCGTTCATATTTGCGGAGATAACTGGCTCACGAATGAAAATATGTGTTATTTAAAATTTCATCTTTGGTGGCAAATTCCGGTATGTAATGATTAAATAATATCTTCATGGAATCCGTTTCTGGTTTGTGAACGATTTGTTTTCTTTATTTAAGCGACCATGGTCATCTTGGAAGGATAATAGAATTCGGTTTACATTTCTTTATTATTTTTATGACTCAAATTCCTTCCCTTCAAGTTTTAAGGAATGGCAATAGTTGCCTCTATTTATGACTCATGAACCAGTTAGCTATGATAATTCGATAATTCACGTGATTTTCATTGAGGTAGAATCATGACAAAATGGTTGGTTCTTGAGTATTATCTTTGCAGAAACGATCATATGATCTGTCATACAAATAAATGTGCAGTGTTTTTGATAAATAAAAGTGTTTGATAAATAAAAATGTTTTTAACTCGTCTTTTAAACATTAAAAGATCAATTGTTTCTTCGAGTATGAGCAATTCTTCAAACACCGAGAAAGCCACTTTTGCTGCCGGCTGTTTTTGGTAGTATATCCCCAGTATTCCACAAAATCCGGTCTAATTATTCACGTGAATTTTAACAATTAGGGGAGTAGAACATGTCTTCCGAAAACATTTTGACATTGATACCAAAGTCGGTTACATTGGGGGCGTCACAAATAAACCAAGTTACAACGAGGTATTTATTTTTTTGAATTAGATTAAGGACGTATCCCGCATGAACTGCACTTCAAACGTTAATTAATGTTTATTATCAGGTTTGTACTGGCAATACTGGGCATGCTGAAGCTTTACAGATTCAATTCGATCCTTCCAAAATTTCATATGCCACGTTGGTCGAATTCTTTTATAAAATCCACGATCCCACTACGGCAAATCGTCAAGGACCAGATGTAGGAACACAATATCGTTCAGCGATATTTTACCACTCGCATCAGCAAAAAGAGATTGCAGAGAAGGTGACTGAACAGGTTCAAGAGAAGGCAAATAAAGAAACCAAATTATACACCGGATCAAAAATCGTAACTGAAATCGTGGAAGCTGGTGAATGGTATGATGCCGAAAAATACCACCAGATGTATTTGGTGAGTTAATTTTAAGCGATTTCATTATTCATGTCTTGATATTGCCTACTCAACTTCCTAACTCTATTTTTGATAGGTCAATAATCCCGATGGATATGAGGTAAAATATTGTTAATTTTGTTACATATTTGACATGTATCACAATCTTAAAATTTTTAATCCATTTTATAGTGTCCCACTCACTTTGTCAGATGGTGATATGACGATGAGCTATTTTTTTTAAAACATGTTTACCTTTTGCGAAAGTTGATCATTCATTCTATGTCATACGAGGTCATTTGAAAGACTCGTTGAAATTGTAATTTTTTTGCATTATATAACATTGTATTCTAATAAAACAATTAAAATAGCAACAGCCTAAAGTATTTAAAGCATTTATGAGTTTTTGTTATTTTAATATTAATGCAATTGATGGAATTCTCAAGCGTTTAAAAAATCATTCTAATTTATTTTCTTGTTATAATTTTCTAAAGTTAGTTTGCGAGTTTCTCGCATTTCTTCATACTATTATTAATCTGGATAACTCACGATTCCCAAGCAATGTAATCATCACAGTTAAACTTGAGAACAAATGTTTGGATTTCATTAGAAGTTTTTCTAGTAGTACTAAAGCTTCATTTCTCAAACAAATATGAGGCTCGCGGAAAGAATGGTGTCACTAATACTTAACCCTCAACTGCGAGAATAATTTGATCTTTACAAGTTGATCGATGGTTCATCCAGTTCTCGTTTGGTGTCAAATGTTGTGGATATGGGTAGAAAACCTAAATTTTTTTTTCAACTAGTAAGATTTGACGGTGCTTTTATATTGCATCATACTGCACGTGTTATACAAAAGGCATGTGATATCACAATAAAACGTTTTCGCACGCTTTAACTTCAAATTATACAAAATGTCTACAGTCGAAAAAAACAACATTGATATTCAGCTTTTAAAAATTAAACTTGCACAACTCGAATTGAAGGTCTTTTATACTGTTTAATTATATCAATTTGATTCTCCTTATTCTCTTCTTTTCATACGTACCCATCATTTCTTAATTAATAATGGTTTACCATTCGTATATTATATATATACATATTTTTTTTTTTTTTACCTCGTTCACGTATAGTTTCGGGAAACTGATATATTAATTTCGGAATTGTCAAACGTAAAACCAAACGCCGTAAGTAAAGCAACTCACAATAACCACTATCCCTTTTACGGCACATTTCCTTTGACATGCAAAAATGACTTTCTTGTTGATTTTGTCTAATAGGCGATATATCGCCAAAAAACAAATGCCAATATATTTTTCGTGGAGAATAAACAACTAATCAAAGATGATAAAAAAAGTCGAGTATACATTGTTTTGTCTATGTTTTAGGATTTCGGTCCTGATAATAATTGACAATTATTTTTTTTTGAATTCCAGAAATGCTTGGTGAGTTGGAGAACGAAATAAAAAAAATCAAGGAGAAAATAAAAAAATTGAAGACAGGATCGTAAAATATGAACCGTGCATTTTATCCTCGATCCATCATTCTTAATAAAATTTAAAAGTCCCAAAGACGCTTAAAACTCGATTTTGATCATGTGATTAATATGCGTATTACGTATTCGTTGATCGTCAATCAATCACAAAAAAGCCTGGCCTGGCTAAACGAAATATAAAGAATTATGGAAAACTTGAATCTAAAACACCGGGTTATCCTAGGATATCCTGATTTAAATAATTCCGGGGTTCGTGTGGTATCAGGAGTTGAAGAAGGGTGTATTACCGAGTTCGATACTCACATATATAAATATAATGATAGTAACAATGTCAACGACGACGCAAGTAGTATTATTCCCTTGAATGTTACTAATACCGAGGATGTTGAGTATTTCGTGTTTTTCAAAATGAAGAAATGCCACTTTACATTATTTTAAGCAAACATTTTAATTCAATCGTTTTTTTAATGTGGATTAGACGACTTTCTTGGCAATCAACAAACTGCCACCACCAACAAAAACGGCTCTTTTCATAAATTCATTAATCACACTTTTCTGCATGCATGAAGTATCGGAAGTGATCATCGTGGCTTCTTTGAATTTTTCGGAAAGAGAAGAGTTTGTATATTTGGGTTGTTTGTCAAGTAATGATACTGAGGTTGAAAACGGAGGTATTTAATTATTAATTAATTATTATTTTTATTATCTATTTCTTTAATCGCAATAGATTCGACAATTATTTTCTGTCAGTGATTGGACATTAACATGATTGATTAAATTTCTGAAGGAATAATAAAAACACTATCCCCAACTGCAAAACTACAAGATCATTTTTTCAATACGTTCATCACCTTGTTGAAAGTGGAATACATTCAAACAAGATGCTTGTTGTATCCAGGAAAACGGACCGATGGCAGACACGCTAGCGATAATTCTTATGAGGTAACCACGCAAATTTAAAATATACGGCATCTAAAACTGATTTAACTCTAACATTCATCCATTACATAAAGATCGGAATACTGAAACACTTGGTTGAAGGTTTAAGGAAATTATTACGTGACGATTCGATAATTTCAATGGACAAAGTTTTGAACATAACGTTACCACCACAAAAATCGGCTGAGAAGGATCCGGAAGAAAAAGAAAGGTTCGACACGATTTATATGTGAAAAAATAACTTGTATAGGTCGATCTGGATGCGAAGAAACTATTTTTGCTATTTCTCTTGACTCTGACTCATTTTCTAAGGAATAAATATTTTGTAAAAAAGCTAATTTAATTTGTCAAATTTTTATTGATTGCGATAAGTGAATAAATATCTTTTATTAAATAAAATGTTGTAAAGAAAAAATAAGTTTTTTAATGAATTATCATGTTAAGAGATTAAAACGTAATTAAACATAAATATAAATAATATATTATTATTATTATTATTTTTTATAATTTGATTTTTTTATAATAAAGATAACAAGCTCTTCCTAACAAAACCATTCATTCATCCAATTAATCTTTTATCATTTACTGTATAATTAGCGGATATTATAATAATAAATTAATGAAAAACTAAAATAAAATAAAAATATTCAAACTTTGTAATTGTGAATTTTAAAAAATTTTTTTCTTATCTTCTCTGTATACAAATAATAAAATAATACTGGTAATTGTTTTTTTTAAGTTTATGTTTATTGCCTTTCTGCGGCACTAATAAAATACAACTTCCGACTGGTGTAACGGTCGATCGTCATGCGACGCGTTTTTATAATTTTGACGTGTTCTTTTTTATTGTTATTTTTTTTTTTTAACAAAATGTTCAATGCTTTTGAAGGGAGCGGATTTAATTATTTTTCTCAAACTTTGGTACACAACTGGGATTCACTAGACTATCATATTTTTTGGAAAAGAACCATATCAGCCACACTAAATAAAGCAACGGTATCAAGAGTATTTAGCGATCAAATCGAATGGTTGATAGCAAACGGAACCGAAAGCGGACAGGAGAAGGCAAAATATCTAAAGAACCAATTTAAAGTAAGAATACATTGGCCGTAGGGACCCCGTGGGACTTCGCCTCCTGCACGGCTTTCCTGCTACAGACCAATCCATGCTTTTAGATTGTAGGGACCCGTGGGACTTCGTCTCCTGCACGGCACTCCTGCTGCAATCCTTGCAACCACATTGCAATATGTAATTTCCAATTACTTTCCTAGATCGATTCACAGAAAGGTGGTCGAATATATCTTTTCTGGAAAGAAGAAATGCATGCTAAAAAACTTAACAACATCGAAAAAGATGCCTCTATTAAGATTCATAACCTCCAGGTAAATATTACGCAATAATGTATAACCATTTTACTTATTGATCCTTAGTTCATTTTAATATATTGTAGGCACAACATCATATTTCCGTTGCAAATCGTATACTTACAAGAGGAAATGACACATTAGAAACAATCCCTCTTAATGTAAGTGCTTCTAAGAAAATAACGGTCAATTTTTATTTGGTTTTTAAACAAAGAAACTAGGAAGCGAGAATGTTTGTGGTTAAACAATCTTCTCTTTGCCTTTTAAATGTCAAGCAGATAAGAGATGACAATGTCGATGATACTTATTCCAAAGAATCTATTTCGAAAAAGGTTGATGAAAATACGGTCCATGAAAATAAAAGAAAAAGGGTCGAAGACGAGGTGGACTATGATGGATTGTCGTTACTATTTGATGAATTAAGTGAAAATAACTTAGTAGACAGTATTGATGAAAGGATTCTTGAGGAAGAGAACGTATTACCACAAGCAAGAGGTAATAGCGACTCGAAGGTAAATTTTATTATTAAACAATTGGAAGTACATTCAGTGGGCTCACTATATTATCTTCAATAGGAACAACAGAAAAATATAGAGGTGGATATCGTTGAAAAATTTTATATGTATCAAAAGACAATCCCCAAAACCCGTAGAATTCTTACGTAAGTTTGATGTCATCTATAATTATTTTTACTAATGGCTTGATTATTGACACATTCTGTCATTTTATCCAATAGACCTGCGTATTAGGGAATTCTGGACTTAACCAAAGAAAGCTTATACGATTGTAAACAACTCACAGAAAAGGACATAATGCAAATTTCCCAAGATTTTGCCGACAAAATTTCCTGGAAAACAATGCCCCCAGAAAGGAATATACGAGAATATTTTGATAGTAATTGTGAAAAAAAAATAGATGATAATCATGGTATTGGAAAATTAGATGTAAATGTCAAATTTATGTATGTATAGGGGTTTCTTTTTCTTTTTTTATTCGTTCATTATTTGGTTATAGAAACCTGACTATATTGTTGTACAGAAAGAGTGGTGTATATAGTTTTCAAGGAATGATGACAGAAGAGGAACTAAAAATGAGTTCAACGTTCCCACTATTTCGCGGGGTGTTTACATCCAACAATATTAAAAACGCTTGGTAGATTATTTATTACTTTTTTTTTTCGAGATTATATTTAAGGACTAATAATAACTGTTCTGCATATTTAGGGGGGAAATCCAAGCTCTACCTACAAATTATGCACGTAATGAAAAAGGGAATCCATTTAAAAAAGCAAGAATAGGAAGACGCGTAGATATGAAAAGTACTCTGATCAAAACGTCTAATAAATTCGAAATTATTTATGGTGAGGTATCAGGAGGGTTGGGTCCGCTTGGAATACCCACTGCCTGTCGTAAAAAGCGATATCTTGACAAGGTAAAACTCATGATAATAATGCGAGACAGCATAAATAAACTTCTAAAAGAATGTAAGCACATATCATTCGAGAAGCGTACAAATTTGATCGTATATGGATGGCTCCAAATAGGTAAGTTTTGCCAACTTTGTTTATGTAGATTTCATTTAGTTGCTAATAATCTCCATTTTCATGTATAGGTCTAGAACTAAACTTCTATGCCATGGACTGGTCAGGAGCCGGTATATATAGATTTGGGCTAATCGATCAATGTAGATTACCGTCTGATGAGGATGAATTTGGGATACTTGAAGACGCGTACTGTATCCTCAAATTGCTTGAAGTAAGTGTTATTCGTTGTTAATGGCTATGCCATAAATAAATATATACCTAACTTGTTCAAATGCTAGAATAAATCACTTGAAATCGAGAAAGTAGTCAAAAAATTATTTTTAGAAAACACAAAAGGGAAACGACGGCGAATTGCAACCGAAACTGAAGCTGAATTGAATGAAAATCGTTCACCTGTAAGATAAATTAAATGTAATGTGCATAATTTTTTATTCAAGAATTTAATAAACGATTATCAAGGATTTCTCACCATACGATTTAATACTTTGTCATATAATTCTAACCTGTGAACTGTTTTGTGAATATATAGTTGAAAAGTGGCATTTCTTTATTTATTTATATACAAGATATACAGTTTGGTACAAAAGTTTTTGGACTAATATTTTTTAATATAATTTAATAAATAATTATTTAACTTAGATAAAATTTTAAATATATATTTTTTATAATCTAATAATAAAAATATTCAATTTTTATTAATAGTTAATTAATAGTTTTATCATAAAAATATTGTTTTAAATAAAAAAAAAAGTAAAAAATTATTGATAAAATTTTTTAAATAATTAATTACAAATCAAATATTAAAAACAAAAAAATTATTATTAAAGTTAATTAATATATAATTTATTAAACAAGTATTAATAGAATTATAAAATAATTTTTTTATAATTTTTTTATTAATTCAAATTATTTTTTTTGATTTTAAATTTATCTTTTAAAAATATTTTTTTTAAAAATCATAGTTTTCGACCATAATTTTTATATAAATTTATATATAAAAACCTAATCAATAATTTTTTACTTTTTTTTTTATTTAAAACAATATTTTTATGATAAAACTATTAATTAACTATTAATAAAATTAGAATATTTTTATTATTAGATTATAAAAAATATATATTTAAAGTTTTATCTATATTAAATAATTATTTATTAAATTATATTAAAAAATATTAATTCAAAAACTTTTGTGTCAAACTGTATATAAGTGTTAAAATTTTATTTATTCTTTATAATGTCTTTTATAACTTTTGATATATACTTAAAAATTATAATTTTTAATTTGCAAGAGGTTTATAAAAAGCTGATACAATATTTATATATTTAAAGTATTTTATAGATCATTAATTAAAATAATATATATAAATATAAAATTAAGATTTGTATATTATAAATATTTAATAGGGCTTCTAATGGTACTATTTCGATATCAGTTGATATCAGTTCAATACTTAAATTTACTATAAATTCATATTAGTAGGTCATAATCCATATATTAAATTTACTATAGATTATTACCATTTTGATATTACTTCGATACCAGTTTAATACTTTTTATAGCCCTAATATTTAAATTTAAAAATTAAAAATATTGTTTAAGATATTCATCTTTTTATAAATTTTTTTAAAAATATTTTGATGGATTTCATTATTGTATATTTAAAAGTTTTTAAAAAAAATAATATTTAAACTTTATAATTTTTTAAGATGTTCAAAAAAAATTATATATCAAAACCTGTTTACCTACCTTGCTTTAATCTTAAAGATCTATTCTAGAAAAACTATTATTTGCTTCAAAAAAGAATTAAATCTTGAAGCATTTAGTTTGTTATAAAGTAAGATTTAGAATCTTGAAGCCAAAAATAAAAAAATTAAAAAAAAAATTAAAGACATTTTGAAATATATACTTTCTTCACTATTATAATAAAAGTTGGAGTTAAAGAATTTGAACTTAAGAAATTAAATATCTTGCTTAAAAGATCTTCTTTATCTATTGAAAAATCTAATTTTATCTGCTTACTTTAACAGGTTTATTTTCTTTTTTCTTTAATTAAAATTTGCTTTTCTTTTTATTTTCTTAAAAGTTATTTTTTCAAAATTTATAAATTCATCATAAAGATACAATAGTTATTAAAAATATTTAGTAGATCAGTTGTAATTAATAGATAATATTTAGTGAACTACTTTTATTATATTGCATCTTTTATTTATTTCTTTAGTTTTTTCAGATTTTTTTTTTCAAGAATTTAATAATACTTATACTTAATTTAATATAAGAGAAGAATTGAATTACTCAAGCATCTGTATCCATATTGTATAACTTGTATTGAATTTTTCAGTAGCTAAAAAATATTTTTCTTATATATATAATATAAATCATAATTTTTTGGAATTAATTTTATTATGATTTAAAAGTCTTAACTAAATTCTTCAAATGAATTAAAAGTTTTAAAAACAACTCTTATAGCAATTTTATTTTTTTCAAAATCAAACTTCTCTTAAAAACTTTTTCAACTTAAGTATTTTTCAATCAATTCTATCTTGAACAGTATCCAAATTACTTTTGTCCAAGATGTAAACTTAGGATCAAAAACATAAACATATATTCGAATATATTAAGGTCAAAAAACAAGCAATCCAAATAATCAATACTATAAATAATATCCTTTTCCCAGATCAGGACAAAAAAACTAATGATTATATATAATAAGTAATTAAGCCATCTTGTGGTCTTACCAACAAAATATTTGTTATAACAGATACTGACAATTGAACAAGAGCAGCTATTAAAGCCCTTACCCTCTTGTATAATCTTATTTAAAAACTAAGATACAGTATAGTCAACACATATTTTTCTATAGAAATCACTTGAAATCAAAACTCTTATCAATTATACAAAGATATATATATTAAATACTATACATAAACTTAACAGTTACCTAATTCGAGTATAAATTTAATACTTTGTGAAGAAACTATCATAGATCTATTATCTCTTGTCACAAATAAATTTATATATAGCAAATTTAATTTATTATTTTGTTTTAAGAATTTAATATATAAATTTAATCAAGTTATTACTTTTAATTTTAAGTAGGTAATTATAGGTGCTTGATACTATCTTTGACATATATAGGTTTTAATAATTATTTTTTTATATTATTTTAATGGAGTATAAAGGCAAGCTAGTATTAAACTTATTGATCTAATTGTTATATAAAAGATGTTGCCACTTTTTTTATATTGTTAGCATAGAAATTGTAGTAGAGGGCATGATGTGACATGTGAGGCCCGGCATGGTACCGCATGAGGCATCGATCATGCATCAATTATGCATAATTGATGGGCGCAGAGCTTGTCAAAGTTTAGCAATTCTACATAACACGACAATAGATTTAGAGACGTGTCACAAGTCATAGAAATAACAATGATGTCCAAATGTAAAAAGAGAGTAAATCAATTAATAAAATACTATTTATTGAAGAACCAAGTGTTTGTACCTGTGTAACGATAATTAATAAACTTACCTTATTTGTTTTTAGTCACCTTAAGAAGAATCCAGGACCTTGTAGTTCAATAAAGAAAAGATTAGAGGAGGAGACTAGATAAACAAAAGGGAAGATTAGGTTAATTATCACTATATGTACCTTTGGTATCACCAGTGACATAGATCCACTATCCAACATCGCACAAGTCTTGGTCCGGATTAGTGACAGACTCGCTGTTGAATCCAACAATATATAAAATTTCTTACATTTTTTACAATTAATAAAGTAATAATATTTACTTACAAAAAAAAAAGAAATTAATTTTATTATTATAATTTTATCAAAAATTATTTAAATATTAAAAAAATTTGAAATAATATTCTTAAAATCTATAGTTTAAGATTATTTATAACTGTTTTCGAATTTTTCTTTTATTTTATTCTTGAATTTTATATTTAATATAAGTTAACAAATATTGATAAAACAAATTTGTCAAAGTTATATATACTGTATATTTATATATATAATATAGTTTGAAATAAATTTTTTAATAAAAAACACAATAATTTAAAAATTAAATTTTTTATTATACAATAAAAAATTATTTGTTTTATATAAAATTTTATAAATCACTTGTATATAACCTAAAAAAATATATATTTAAACTTTTTTATAAAATATTGTAATAGAATATTTTAAAATTATTTTGTAAATTGTTACCACTATTGGCAAGTATATCACTAAAGAAAAGCTAAGATTCGCATAATGAAAATATGTGTTTTTATTATATGTGAGACAGATTCAATTGTAGCTGAAAATCGATTTTTATTAATTTTTCTTTCATCAATTCTTTCATTGTTCTGTCTTTTTTTCTTTCGATACATGATTCTTTTATACATTTCGTAAGTATTTCAATGAGAAAAATAAAATAAACAAATAGAGAAAAGTAAAATAAAAATAAAGTAACGAAATTGTGACGAAGCTATTATATAACATATCATTATTATTTACATAATTGATTAATTTTTCCAAGTAGAGACGTGGCACGTGACTTTGTCTGGTTTTCCTCTGCTTATATTATACTTCTCACCAAAACCTCCTATATCTTCATATGCGTCGGTTATTGTTTCATCATGGCTTGTTTTTTAATTATAGTGCGCGACATGTCTTGGTATCAAATGTTGATGACGTATGCGTTGCCACTTTCCTATATTACAAAATATAAAATTTTTTAAATTTTTAATATAAGAAATTAATATAAAAAGATTTTTTATATTTAAAAAAACTTATATTATTTTTAATTATACAAGGAATTTTATTTATTTTATATAAAATCAAAACTTATTTTCTTTGGATTTTTTAAAAAATTCTTGTTTAAGCTTTTAATATAAAATAAAATAAAATAATTATTTATAATATTTATAAAAAAATTTTTTTAATTTTCATGTATTATCTAAAATTTTTTATAAAATTCATATTATTTAATTCTTAAGTTTTAAAAAATAATTAAATAAAATTTCATAAAAATTTAATAATTTTTTTATTTGATTATAAAATAAAATATAAAATCAAAAAAAATCAATATAATATGAATCATACTACAGTATATACATCAAGTTTCCATATTAATTGATCAAAATAAAGCTTTAAGGAAAAAAATAAAGAATGGTTTTTTCTATTTTGATTAAATTTTTCTATAAAGTATTTATCTTTAGTAGTATTATATATTAATACTTTATCTTTAATTTTAAATTTCTTGTATTTAAATAAGAACTCTTTCCCGTCCATCCCAAATTTCCTTTTTAGGAAGTACTTTTTCAAAAACCAAAAAGTTTCTTTACATAATTATTAAAACACATCCAAAAACCAAAGAAGTTCTCAATATAATCAAAGGTATACACACTTGTAAAG